GATCTCAAGGTTCCTGCGTTCAGGCCATGTGTAGGGCTCTATGCTGACTGCTCAGAACATGGAACCTGCCTCAGATTCTCTGTCTCCCTCTCTTTCTTTGTCCCTCCCCTGCTTGCACTCTCTCTCAAAATAAATAAAAAAACATTTAAAAAAGTAAAATAAAATAAAATAAACTGTGGCCTAAAAGCCTGTTGATTATGTGTATGGGAGGGGGACAGTTTGGGGGCTATTCTACTGTTTTAAGGGTTACAATTACAGGAACTTGAACTAGCGCTTTATTTATTTTAACTTTTACCATTTTCCTTGGTTTATAAATTAGGCTAAGTGCTTCAGGGAAAAGGGCCAGCCATGTCCTTTATTTCTTTTGTGGGTAAGGTGGGGGGTAACTCTGTAACTAGCATGTGATAGCAGAGGCTGGTCTTTCCTTCAACCATCACTGACTTTGCTCAGCTTTCACCCTGGAGAACTTCACACACCAAAGTGAATGTAATCACACCTAGCGTCACCTGCTGGTTTCCAATAGTATTTAGAATTTTAGTCTTGTTCATGGTTTTCTTTTATATTACCACAAACCTATCAGCTATGAAAGAGCCTTATCGTCTCATCTGTAGAAAAGAAAACAAGTGACGTGAACCTTCTGGAACACATATTCACAAGGGAGCAGACTCAGAGTAACTAAAGGAAATTTCCTATAAGCCCTATTTAACCAGAACTTTAGACAAAGCAGAATTCCCATCCCAACTCCCAACTTGCCTTCTGATCAGAAGTTACTGAGAAATAAACTGATGTTGCAGATTTGTAAAAACAAAACACCTAGGCATGACTAAAAGCAACCCACAAATCACCCATTTTCTAGGGTTTGCGACTCAAAGTGTGGTCCCTGGACCAGCAGTGCCTCAAAACCTGGAAGCTTGCTAGAAATGCAGAATCACAGACCAGGCCCAATAACCATAATCTGCATTTTCACAAGCTCCCAGGAGACTCAAATGCACAGTGAAGTCTGAGCAATGCTCCAGGGCAGTACCTATTTCCTCTACCATGTCTCTTACCGCTTCAGGATGATTATCTGGAGGGACTACAATATTTCTAAATAAAAAGAAACATTCAGGCCTTAGATGAAGACAACAAAATTAAAAACAAAATGGCATGTGAAGTTAAATAAATTATATAAAGTGCACTATTCTTAAAGCTTCTTCAGTTTTGTGATGCACCACTAAGCTGCAAAGAATGCTTAGTAAATACCTACAATCAATACTTGACGCCTCTCATTCACATGGCCCTTTTTTGAAAAACCCCATTCTTTTCTTTGGGTCTTTTAAGAACCTCCCAAGGCCATGAGTAGCCTATGAGGACACATGCGTTCTGTGTAATTCTAGTTAATATAACAAGGAGATGCCAGTGAAGACGCACTGTTAATTAAAAAGAAGGCCTGTTCTTCCCTACCATGAACATTTATGATGCCATCAGGTCCTTACCATATTGTAAGATGCTGACTAATAAACAAAATGACTTATCTCCATTCTCCATCACCAAAAAACATAAATGGAAATGTGAAAGCCCACAATGAAAAGGAAGAAATCCAACAGCCTAGATTACAGCATCTACGAAAGAATATCCTAGAAAAAAAGTGTAATGACCAAGTTTTTTAACTCTACATATTTCTCTAACAATCTGGGATATTCCATAAGATTGAATCCCAACTAACAACTTACACAACCAAGTACATGTGGACATACACACACTAACTATAAAACTTCCTACCTCCATACTAAACCTTCTTCTATAACTTGAAAATAGTTCAACAAAAATTAATACAAAAATAATCATTTAATCTAGTTCATTGTTACCCTAAAATATGACATTAAGCCACAATGTCATCACAGATTAAATTCTACCATATCCAAATAAACTGCCTATAATATGGTAGTGAATTTAAGGAAATTCACAATTTTAATAACTATGGACAAATCTGTCATTCTGTGGTTTTACATCTGCTGCCACTCTCCTGAGGATGTCACGTGGTGACTATCCATAGGGAAAACGCTTTCCTTTCTATACAGGCTAGTGAGGTTACAATAGAAGATGGAGATAAAGTATGGCCAAGAGTTTCTTGGGCAACATCCCTGGATTTTAAATAATGTAAATAAGCATTTCAAAGTGGCATAATGGGCATGCAACTATTGAGAAAAACATACAAGATAAAGTGCTCATGTACATATTAAATAACATCAACCACACAAAGGAAACCAGACTCACGTGAGGGGAATAGCGTTTGTTTTTGACTGTCTTCTGCTTTTCAGGGCACGAAGTCTATCACCTTGTGTCACTCCATGGATTTCGTCATCATCACTGTACTGTATAAGTAAAGAGACACTAAGCTAGTGACTTCAGTTGCACTTATTAAGGCAAAAAAGCATAGCAGCTATGTTTACCCAGACAGACACATACAAATGAACTGCTGAACTCTACAGTGTTTTGCTGCTTTCAAAAATAAACACGGGTCACATTTCAAGACAACCAAAAGTTGACATTCACAGACACAGAACCCAACAGCACTCTTGTTATAAAACATACGGACAGTGAAGAGGCATGATGGGTTTCCAATAATGAAAACATTCTTTGTAAAATTTCACAATCCACTCACCACCACTTAATATAGTACCACTACCCCTAAACTTTTGCTTGGTTCTTTATAAACTTTTCCATTTGAGAACAACTAGTTCCCTAAATCAACAGTCATGAAATGGAAAAAACGCCGGGTTGGGGGTGCAGGTGCACGGGGAAATGTCATTAGGTCCATCTAAAGGGCTTCCTTCACATACCTCTTTTTACCACCAGTGCCTAGTGAGTAAATAAACAAAAAGACAAAAAATAAAAAAAAACCTTCCATTTTATGGCCATATGACCTTATTTGAATTATTTTGAGTAAAAGTTTCCTAGAGGGAGCTGTAAGTATTAAAAAAATGTGTGATGATAATCCCTCAAAAACGTGCTTTATTATTTTTATCTACAATTTCCCCCATGCCCTATATGGTCCTCAACAGCACTGAAAACAATGACAACAGCACGATAGGGATGGTTCGATTACCAGTTCAGGTTCTTGCTTGTCTTGATTCTCGACCCCATTGATTGAAATGTCATCAACAGCCAAGAGGAGTTTTGAGACAGCTGCTCTGTGTTTTCCATTCTCCTGACCCCTTAACTTTTGACGAAAATAGTCACCTTCCAACCAGAGGCTTGCCTGTTTCCTAGAGCATTTAAATAACATCAAAACATAGCTTTCCAGAAGGACACATGCAAACAACTTTCTCCTACTAGACTATCTGTTGTTAGTGACTAAGAAAAACTCTACTTCCTATCATTTGCCAGGCCCATGTGTTCCCTCAGGAATTACAAAAGCTCTCTGTCTACTTACATCACCAAAAACTGTTGCTGAGGCCCAATCACTGAGCCAGGTCTGCAGATTCTGACCCAAGCAATGGTCTCGGCTGCTGTCATCCTGTAATGCTTCATGATGTAGCAGGCTATTAGAGTGCCCGTTCGTCCAAGGCCAGCTAGAAACAGAAACAAACCAAACGGACCTGGTCTCATGTACTCCAGAATTTTGTAGGGGAGGTAGAATTTTTCTTAAAAGGTTTCTGCTTCCCCGCTCAACAGTGGTTCTCAAGTTTGGATGCACATGGCAATCACCTGAAGAGTGTTAAAAAATACTGGAGAATTCTGATTTAATTGGTATGTGAGACAGCCTGGACATGGAGATTCCTAAAATCCCCCCAGATGATTCTACATAGTCAACACTGAAAATCACTTTCTAAGCGAGACTGTTAGTACTGCTTTCTACTCCGAGTTTTCTGTTCATGGTAGCATCATCTTTCCAAACACACGGGCTTAGAATCTTATACTTTCTCCCCTAACAGTTTTTCTCTACGCTATTTCTATTCCTATTTTCACATGGATTTTTAAAAAATTTTTTAAAAAAATGTTTGTTTTTGAGAGAGAGAGAGACAGAGCGCACAAGTAGGAGAGGAGGAGAGAGAGAGAGAAACACAGAATCCGAAGCAGGCTCCAGGCTCTGAGTGGTCAGCACAGAGCCCGATGCAGGGCTTGAACTCACAAACCGTGAGCTCATGACCCGAGCCGAAGTTGGATGCTTAACCAACTAAACCACCCAGGCACCCTCATATAGATTTCTTTTTTAACTCTATTCCTGCTATCCTTTCTTTACTCCCATCCAGACTACTATCATTACCTGCTGTGATGGTTAATTTTGTAGGTCAGTCTGGCAGGTGTATTTGGATGACACTGCCATTTAGATTGCTGGACTATGAGTAAGTAAATTACCCTCCATAATGTGGGTGGGCCTCACCCAATCAGTTGATGGTCTGAAGAGAACAAAGGCCTTCTTCCCCAAGCTAGAGAGAATTCCCTAGCAGTATGCTTTCAGACCTCAGCTGCACCATAAGCTCTCCCAAGTGTCCAGTCTGTCACCTCATATGGCAGATTTTGTACTTGCTAGCCTTCAATTCACCCAAGCCAATTCTTTACAATTAATCTCTTTCTATATATACACATGCCATTGCTTGTTTCTCTAGAAAACCCTTGCTTATACAGATTCTGGTACTGTGAAGTGGTGTGTTACAGTGACAATATATAAAAATGTGTAAGTGGCTTTGGAGTTGTAATTGTAAAAGCTCTGGAAGTTTTAAAGCACAATGTTAGCAAAACCCTACATTGCCTTGAAGGGACTGTTGGTAGGAATATGGGCATTAACAGTGACTCTGGCTCTGGCTCTGACTCAGATGGGAATGAGGAACATGTTATTGGAAACCAGAAGAAAGGCAATCCTTGTTAGAAAATGGCAAAAAAAAAAAAAAAGGAAGAAAGAAAGAAGGAAGGAAGGAGAGAAAAGAGAAGAAAAAGAGAAAGAAAGAGAAAGAGAAAGAAAAAGAAAAAAAAAAAACCTGGCTAAATTGTTTTATTGCTTTATGGAAGGTAGAAGTTGTGAGTGACAACCCTGGATATTTAGCAAAAGAGATTTATAAGCTAAGTATTGAAAGTACAGCCTGGTTTCTCCTTACTGATTATAGTAAAATGTGAGAGAAGACAAATCAACTGAAGAAGGAATTGTTAAGCAAAACAGAAACTAAACATTTAGAAAATTCTAGGCCTATCCATATTGCAGAGTGAGAAGGTGTGTTCTAGAGAGAACACCAAGGGTATAGTCAACGATCTATTCCATAAACTGATTGATTACCTATGGATTTAATCAGCCATTTCAGCAGAAGCCAAAAATAGTGATGGGATTGATTATACCAGAAGACACACTGCCAGGATGAAACAAAGGGGATACATACAGGATGAAATAAAGGCTTTCAAATTCCTAGGGTTCTAAACAGGACTAACAGAAACATCTCACTAAAAACATATCTCATGTTTCTCTTCAAGAAAAGAGAAACATACCCCCAAGGGGCCAACAGGGCTGTCACTGCCACCATAAGCCCAGGGGCAAGGCTGTCTACTCCTGAGTTTCAGAGGGTGGGGGTCACCTCTGTGGTCAGTGGCCAGGCTGTTTCTGCCCGAGCTCAGGGACAGGGCTGCTACCCCAGTGGGCCTGCATGACAGAGAATGTAGCCAGAGCATTATTTCTGAGCCTTAACATCTAACAGCATTTGCCTTGCCAGGTTTTGGACTTGCTTGGGACCTGTCAAGCCCTTTCTTTTTTCTGATTTCTGTCATTTGGAATGGGAACATCTACCCTATGCACATCCCACTACTGCATTTTAGATGCACTTAACTTGCCAGGTTCCACAAGTTCACAGACCGGGAGGAATTCTGCCTCAGGATGAATTGTACCTGGAGTGTCACCCATTACATGACTTAGAGGACATTTAGATGAGACTTTGGATCTGGAACTGATGTTGGAATGAGTTAAGCCTTTGGAGGCTGCTGGGATTTTACATGCGAAACAATGTTATGGACTGAATTGGGTCCCCCACTCCCTGTGCCCCTCAAAATCCATATTAAAGTCATATTTCCCAATGTGACTATCTTTGGGGAAAGGACTTTTATGGAGTCAAATTAAGGTTATACAAGGTCATGTGGGGAAGGCCCCTAATCCAGTAGGACTGGTGTCCTTAGAAGAGGAAGAGACACGGGGCACCTGGGTGGCTCAGTCAGTTAAGCATCCAACTTCGGCTCAGGTCATGATTTCATGGTTCGTGGGTTGAGCCCCATGTAAGGCTCTGTGCTGACAGCTCAGAGCCTGGAGCCTGCTTCAGATTCTGTGTCTCCCTCTCTCTCTGCCCCCCACCACCCCACCTCACTTTGCTCACGCTTTGTCTCTCTTAAAATTAAATAAACATTAAAAAAAATTTTTTGAAAGAAGAGGAAGAGACACCAGGAGTGAGTGTACACATAGGAAAAAGAAGGCAGCTGTCTGAAACCCAGGAAGAGGCCTCATCAGAATCCAACCTTTGCCAACACCCTGATCTTGAATTTCTAGCTTCTCAAACTGTGAAAAAATAACTTCTGTTCAAACTACACAGTCTGTGGGATTCTGACGTGGTACCCCAAGCAAATTAATACACTCCCTAGATAATCTCACTTTGCATATGATAATCCACGCTTTATAGTATCATCAGTTTTCTTCCCGAAACAAAGATCCAATCCTATCAAATCCTCTTCAGGTTTTCAACTGGTCCCTGGTCAACTTCCGGGTTTCTCAACCTCAGCACTACTGAATTTGGGGGCTGGTATGGGGGCTCTCCTGTGCACTGTAGGCTGTTTAAGAGCATCACTGGCCTTGGGGCGCCTGGGTGGCGCAGTCGGTTAAGCGTCCGACTTCAGCCAGGTCACGATCTCGCGGTCCGGGAGTTCCAGCCCCGCGTCAGGCTCTGGGCTGATGGCTCGGAGCCTGGAGCCTGTTTCCGATTCTGTGTCTCCCTCTCTCTCTGCCCCTCCCCCGTTCATGCTCTGTCTCTTTCTGTCCCCAAAATAAATAAACGTTGAAAAAATTAAAAAAAAAAAAAAAAAGAGCATCACTGGCCTATACCCACCAGATGCCAGTAGCATCTTCCCACCAAGTTGTGAAAACAAAACAAAACAAAAAAAATGTCTTCAGACATTGCCAAATGTTCTCTGGGGGGCAAAACCACCCTGAATGAGGAGCTCAGCTGAGTATAACCTCAATTGCTTATTGTAATTAAAAAAAAAATGGGGGCGCCTGGGTGGCGCAGTCGGTTAAGCGTCCGACTTCAGCCAGGTCACGATCTCGCGGTCCGTGAGTTCGAGCCCCGCGTCGGGCTCTGGGCTGATGATGGCTCAGAGCCTGGAGCCTGTTTCCGATTCTGTGTCTCCCTCTCTCTCTGCCCCTCCCCGTTCATGCTCTGTCTCTCTCTGTCTCAAAAATAAATAAATGTTAAAAAAAAAAAAAAAAATTAAAAAAAATAAATAAATAAAAAAAATGAAATAACCAATGTTGGATTTTGTTTTAATTATTTATTTTTTTATTTTAAAAAAAATTTGTTTTAATGGTTTATTTTATTTTTGAGACAGAGACAGAGCATGAGCGGGGGAGGGTTAGAGAGAAAGGGAGACACAGAATCCGAAGCAGGCTCCAGGCTCTGAGCTGTCAGCACAGAGCCCGACGTGGGGCTTGAACTCACAGATGGTGAGATCGTGACCTGAGCCGAAGTCGGAAGCTCAACCGACTGAGCCACCTAGGCGCCCCATAATTATTTATTTTTTTTAAATTGTGGTAAAATAGACCTGACATAAAATTTACCATTTTTGTTCATGCATCATTTTTCTGGTTTCACTTACTTCCTTATGTTTCCTTTTAGCTCACTGAGCATTTTTTTCACAGTTTACTTAAAGTAGGCTTCACATCCAAGGTGGGGCTTGAACTCACAACCCTGAGATCAAAAGTTGCACACTCTGGGTGAGCCAGCCAGAAGCCCCTAATTTTTAAAGTCAGCTGTTTTAAAACATGAATAGACACTTCTCTAAAGAAGACATCCGGATGGCCAACAGGCACATGAAAAGATGTTCAGCGTCGCTCCTTATCAGGGAAATACAAATCAAAACCACACTCAGATATCACCTCACGCCAGTCAGAGTGGCCAAAATGAACAAATCAGGAGACTATAGATGCTGGAGAGGATGTGGAGAAACGGGAACCCTCTTGCACTGTTGGTGGGAATGCAAATTGGTGCAGCCGCTCTGGAAAGCAGTGTGGAGGTTCCTCAGAAAATTAAAAATAGACCTACCCTATGACCCAGCAATAGCACTGCTAGGAATTTATCCAAGGGATACAGGAGTACTGATGCATAGGGGCACGTGTACCCCAATGTTTATAGCAGCACTGTCAACAATAGCCAAATTATGGAAAGAGCCTAAATGTCCATCAACTGATGAATGGATAAAGAAATTGTGGTTTATATACACAATGGAATACTATGTGGCAATGAGAAAAAATGAAATATGGCCTTTTGTAGCAACGTGGATGGAACTGGAGAGTGTGATGCTAAGTGAAATAAGCCATACACAGAAAGACAGATACCATATGGTTTCACTCTTATGTGGATCCTGAGAACCTTAACAGAAATCCATGGGGGAGGGGAAGGAAAAAAAAAAAAAAAGAGGTTAGATTGGGAGAGAGCCAAAGCATAAGCGACTGTTAAAAACTGAGAACAAACTGAGGGTTGATAGGGGGTGGGAGGGAGGGGAGGGTGGGTGATGGGTATTGAGGAGGGCACCTTTTGGGATGAGCACTGGGTGTTGTATGGAAACCAATTTGACAATAAATTTCATATATTAAAAAAAAATAAAAATAAAAAAAATAAAGTCAGCGGTTTTAAATTCCTTGTCAGATAATTCAGAGATCTACGTTTCTTTAGGGCTGGTGTCTGGAGATCATGGTCACCATTGTTAAGTGTCCATTGCAGTGGCATTAACCAACTCATTGCTGTGCGACCATTACTACCATGTCGTGGGTATCCTTAAGACAAATGTGTGCTCCCTTTTTGGGGGTCAGTGTTCCGGGTGTGTCTGTTATTTCTAAGTTGGTTTTACTGTGTTGTTCAAATCCTCTATTTCCTTACTAATCTTCTCTCTGTTCTTTCCATTACTGAAATGGAAAGTACTGAAATCCTAGTACATCATACAGTATATTATTACACAGTCATTCATTCAATAAATACTTACTAAGTGCTAAAGCACTGCTTTAACTGCTAAAAACACAGAAACTTGTTAGAATATAAGCACCACAAAGACAAGCTCTTAAGAGTCTGCTCTGCTCATTGACATATTCTAGAACATACCAAACAGAGAGCACTGAGTAAATATTCGAGGAATAAATGAATGCATTTCAATGTGATAGATAAGCCTTTGCAGGGTTACCAATGAATACAAGTTAATTTATGACACTTTTCATATGAAATTAGGATGTCTTTTTTGAGAGTGTGAAAGAGAGGAAGAGAAAGAGAAAGCGAAAGCGGAAGAGCAGGGGAAGGGCAGAGGAAGAGGGAATGGGAGAACCCTAAGAAGGCTCCACACTCAGTGCAGAGCCTGACATGGGGCTCATTCCCATGACCAGGAGATCATGAGCTGAGCTGAAACCAAGAGTTGGATGCTTAACCAACTGAGCCACCCAGGCACCCCAAAATTAGGGTTTTAAAGGCATTCGATATATGCACAGCTTTTTAATGTCAATCATACCTCAATAAAGTGGTTTTAAGAAAACAGCAACTTTCAAACAACAACAACAAAGGCAGCTTCATGTATCCTGGCATATAACCTAAAGGGGCATGGTGTGTTTCTAAACGTACATACATATGTGCCCAGCATCTTTAACCAATCCTAGGAACATACCTTTACAATGTACTGCAATGGCACCCTCCGCATTTTCACAAATATCCAAAAATTCTTTGACGATGGCATCAGTAGGGGTGCTGCCATCCGCAAAGAAAAGGTCATAGTGATCGAAACCAGCATTCGTAAAGCGTTTGGCATCATACATCCTTTTATTCAGACGAATAATAGTAGTAACGTTGTGATTCTTAAAATACGGAATATAAGCCTCAGGAGAATGTTGGTGGTAACCTACATAAAAAAATTCACCAGATACTGTCAAATGCAGAAACAAAACAATGCCTAACCATTTCACCTGTAATTGGGTGGAAAGAGTATCTGACCTGGGGGTGGAATACCAATTTGATTATAACTATAAAAGCATTAATTCAAAAAGTTAAAAGCCTGGCAGAATAAAAACGACCAAGTATATTTAAATAATTAAGACAGACCTTTGGCCTCTTTCAAAAGAAAATACAGGATAGATACTTTTAATAACAAAACGATACTAGGTCCCATTATTTTTGCATACCACTTTCAAGTCTGGTTCTTGAATGAGGTCCACAGAAGGCAATAAATCGGTCTGGTATTATCCAATTTAAATCTCCATTTTCTGCTTTCTGCAAAGGGAAGACCAGTACAATTCATTTTTAGACTTAATCTCCCGTCCACACTCCTTCCCAATACTGAGTGTCTGAAGGACTTCAAATCCATTTATTTTAGCACAGAATCACTTTATAAATGGCCATGAGATAGGAAACTAAAATTTAGCCTGCTATGAGTACTCCCTGGGAGTAGTTAACTTCTTCTGATCCTAATCATGCTTTTATTTTTATTTTTATTTATTTTTCTAATCATGTTTTTAAAAACAGTGTTCCTTTGCTTGGATAGTCAGCCTTTGGAAAACAGAACTAACTGCTGCTATTCAAAATATACCTAAGTGTTTTAATTATTTTATCCAGGTAAATTCTCATATAATTGCTGCTAATTAATAAGAAAGCAAACTTTTTATTATGAGGGATCTTAGAAACTTTCCTATTTCCCTGAATGACTACGTGGCTTCCAACATGAGCAATCTTGACTCCTTGAACAAAGGGGGGGGGGGGAAACTTCTGATTTCTTGATATTTACACTTTATTTCTAGAGACACATACTTCTATCATTTTGTTAGCTATTTAGTAAAAGGGTCAATGAAGAATTTGCACTAAACCCACCACAAAATTACAAGTACACTAATTTCACAGTACAGCTTTAGAAAAAAGCGTGAACATAAACTGATATTTAAAACACCTTACTTCCTGTTACTAAGTCCTTTCAACTGAGTTACCATCATAATTACTGTAGGATAAATACAGCTCAACTTTAACAATAATAGAAATGGATACACAAAAACTGAAGCAGGAAGTAGAAGACTTGATAGTGGAGGAGAGAACTAGCAATAAAAACAAGCAATTGGGGTATACTTATGCGCACCTAAGAACAAGTAAGCAATAAACTGGGAGTTGCCTGAATATCTACAACTGGAGTTGCCAGTCAGGTAACCCAAATCCAATTTATTTGACTTAATTATCAGTGAGGGGAATTAACGAACCCTTGCTCCATACTAAAAGGCCTAAGCAAGAATGAAAACATGTCCAGGTATTCCAACTTTGAAATGGAATCAGAAATCTAGAGATTTTATTATGAGAAACGTGATTAGATTTTACTGAATTGCAGACATCACATATTATAAGATGCATCTTGAATTCAGAAAAGTAATGTAATAGGAAAAAACGGGCATCGGGGAATCAATGAAAGACACTACTCCAAAATTTCTAAATATCTGTAGAGAAACAAAACTATCCATGGCTTGTAGCTACTTAAACAGCTCCTTGAGTTTCAGTGCAGTTTCACTAAAGTAAACAGCATATGGGGGCAACCTTGCTACTACCCCCAACACTGCAATTTCTGCATTAGTGAGAGGGAAGCTAATTAGCACCTATATTACTCCTCAGTAACACATAAAAGCATCACTCTGCTCCACTCAAGGAACACCAACTGGTGTTCTTAGTAGTTTTATTTGCCTAGAAAGAGAAAGTATATTTTATTTTAAATGTTTAATTTTATGAGGACAAGCACAAAAATAATGGTACTAATAAATAAGTTATATTTATCAGTTTAGGATGTGCATTAAATATATATTGTACTTCAGAAACATACTGGTATTACAGAGAAGTAAAGATACGGTTGGCCCGAATGAATCAATCATGGTATGTTTTAGATCTTTGGTACATCACAGTAATGATTAACCGTAACTATTAGAACAGTTCAGTTATACCTAAAAGTTTAAAATAATAGGTGCTCTAGGGGCACCTCGCTGACTCAGTCAGTTGGGCGTCCAGCTCTTGAATTTTGGCTCAGGTCATGATCTCAAGGTTCTTGAGATCGAGCCCATGTCAGACTCTGCGCTGACAGTGTGGAACCTGCTTGGGATTCTCTCTCTCCTCTCTCTCTGCCCCTCGCCCACTCTCTCTCTCTCTAAATAAATTTTTTTGAAAAATTAAAAAAAATAATACTCTAGAAATTGTGAAAGGACAGTTATCTGAGGATTCCAGACACTGTTGCATAAAAGTGCTGTCTGTTGGAATCACTCCATTATTGGTGAGAATGCCTGCTCCAGATAACTACAGTAGGATAAAAAGACAAGATTCCACAAGTACTCTTGGCAAAAAAGACCTTTAGCATGATAGCATCTTACTATTTAAAGGGTGGAATGGCAGAATCAAATTACTTACTCTTTAAAATATACTACATTTACAAATGTAGAGGACATCTATTGTTTTGCCTTCCTGGACTTTCTTCTTTCTCTTTCTCTCTTTTATTGTCTGTGTGGTTTGACAGGGCTGATCCCAGCATACCCCTCCAACTACTGAGATGATCCACCCAACAACTACCCTCACCAGGAACACAGTCTAGCTCAGAGCAAGGCACATGATCTAATAAGGCAGGCCAATGAGGAACTTGTGGGTTTCTTCTGATGAGTTTGCCCAGTGAGTCAATCAAAGATGCTGGTCGCCATCACTACTGGGGAGGGCTGGCCTGGTAACAAAACTAGTTTTTTTCTGGCGAGTATCTGAGTACATTCATCTGGTCATACATGAAGTTACACCTGCTCCTAGACTTTTTATTTATGTAAATCAATAAATGTCCCCTTTTTTATTTAAGCCATTTGTATTTACTTTCTGTAATTTGCACCCAGAAGTGTCTTGACTTCATACAAACAAAAGGTTATGATAAAAACATTTTCCAGAGGTAATTAGATGTATAAAGACTTTTATTCACCTCACCAGATCCTATGCTACGGGTTTTTAAATCTCCTCATTTAATCACTCTATGAAAATTATCAGTACTAAAAAAATTAAACATGAAAGAAAAATGCCCAGGAGCACATTCATGCACTCTGGGAAAGATGCATCAAATATACAAATCACCACTAAGAACTGGAACTTCAGAATGGGGGTAAGAGGATAAAGACTTGCCTTTTTTTTCTCTATACATATCTAAATTGTTCACCTCTTCAAAAAACAAGAATATTACCTCTGTAAGTAAAACATGAATAAAGGAGTTAAAAGCAGTATCCTTGAAAACTTACCTCATAGTGTTCATATTCATCAAGGTTAAATGTGTTGAAATTAAGGAAGTCATACTGCATTGCCTAAAATCCAAAGGAAAGCTTTTAAGAATAAAGATGCAAATAAGAGAACAATTTCCGATCCAATTTCCTAATTAAAAATTAGGAAATGTTTTATTAGTTTCAGGTGTCCAACATAACGAAGTTGACAATGTTACACATTACTCAGTGCTCACCACCCTAAGTGTAGTCCCAATCTGTCACCATACAATGTTATTGTTCTACTACTGATTATATTCTCTATGCTGTACTTTCCATCTCTGTGTGTAAAAATTCTTGATCAGCAAGGTATTCTTGGTTCAAAAGGGATGACTCTATAAACTCAGCTTTCAAAATTTAAACCACTGAAATATGAATGGAAAATGAGAAGGCTACTGTATCAAACAAAAAACCCTCATTTAAAAAAATTATAGCTATTTAAATTCTAATTCCAAGACTATGATTAGTTATATTTCTTTGAATTCAAAATACTCAATATATGTCATGCTATTTGAACTACATGCTCTTAACAGAGTGATACAATAAAATGTAGTTTAAAGGCAATTTCTACTCATAAGGAGAACCTATTAGAAGCTGCATTAAAATGAAGTCACAATTACTTTTATAAACCTTTTTTATATGCAATAATACTCAAAATCAGCTACAAATTAAAGATGTTTAACTTGAAAATCAGAAGCTGTTGACTCTCGAATAAAATTAAATATAGAGCAAGAAAAGGAGTCTTTGACTTATAGTTCCTGCTAATTAATTAGGCTTTGGATATAATATCTGATAAAAAGGAAAAAAACTAAGCTGACAAATAACAATAGAATGTTAGAGTGGACCATTTCCAAGGCCCTCTTAAGTTTTTCACCTCTCTTTTTAAAGGAAGTGGAAGTAGAGAGAAGGGAACCCTAGCATAAGGAGAGGTATACCTGCCTGCATTAGCAGTTCCCAGGGGTCATTTATACCCTCCATCTCTTGATCACCTCCTCTGCACATTACCCGCCTAAAGTGAGGCCTGATCAAGCTGCCTCAGAGCCTGTGGCAACGAACTTGATCACCTTTATTAATAGTCACTGGACTCAAACCCAAAACAACATTAAGTTCTATACCTTGTTGCCTAATACAGGAAAAAAAAGATATACTAATTAATATCTGAATTAGTATACTAACTAGTCCTCAAATTTCTCAGAAAGCCACCATGTTTCATTATACAAGAAAGCAAACCAGGGCTCCTTTTGACTGTGAGAATGTAAGTCACATAAAGCTTGAGATGTTGTTGAAAGTTTATTTGATCCATGGGCTACTGATTTAAATTCTAGTTTCTTGTGCTGCCCTGACATTCAAGACACATACCTGAGGGAGGGAGTGTGCCTGCGTCACATAACTCCAGGGGACCCCATTCATTTAGAATGTGATATTAAAGGTGTCCCTGGGAGTCAAAGACGGCAGGCAGTACTGGTTATAAAACACAGCAGTTATTTTTAAATAACTTTGACAAAGCAGTGGTGACCTACTTAGTCTTACATAAAACCTAGTAACAAACTAATGGACTACACAAATTCTTCTGCTGAACTAGAAATTGAATGCTTGAAGACACAAAACGAAGTGTTTGTATCAATTACTGCATTACAGAAATGTCTGTGGTAAATAGGATTGGTGGCTATCAGACCCATAAAATACATAAATCAAAGACAACTCGGAAACCAGTAATCTATTTACTTTTTGTTTTTCTTTGAAATCACAACGCACCCAAAACATGTCTGGATTTAGAACCTAATTACATAACTAGCTCTGTTGTTCAAGTGGCTTTTTTCCCAACTCATTCAAGAAACACTCAGATTCAGAAAAATCATTTACTGGTTTGGCATTATTCCAAAGTTAGTGGGAAATGAGACATCTCTGACATCATACACATCTTGGAAGATCCTTGCACAAAAGGCCTAGTCTTCCAACTCAACACTGGGTACATCTTACAATTCACTTACCTTCTTTAGTGCATGAAAACAGTCAAGAAGTGTAATGTAGAAATTGCAACTTCCATAGGCAGCATCTCTGAAATCCCAAAAGTATTGAAATACATAGCTCAGTTAAATTTAGTTTTCTGTAGTACACTTACCTCAAGACAAAGCAGACTAGTATTTAAAAGCAAACCACATACTCAGGATCAGACTCAAAAAACAAAAATCTTGCCTTTCGATTTTTAAGTCAAGGATAAGTCATTGTTATAAATTTCACTGCAGTTTCTACCTATTCCAGTAGATATTATTTTATAGGCATGAATCAATAATGACCACTTTTTAAATTTCAAATGATCTCCCTAGATCATTTTTGGCCTTGATGGCTGGGCTTCAAAAGTTCCTTAAGTTCTAATCAGTAATATGTACCCTTCCCCACAAAAGAGCAAGGCATTGAATCTTTTCTTTTTTACTGGAAAATACCATATTAAACTGTTACCAGGTAAGACTTCTTTTTGATTCTGTATACACATATATGTGTGTGCATGTTGTAAGTATGTGCTGCAGGTATAGGTCTATCCATGAAGGAAAACAATATTGGGAAATCAAAGTAATATTTGAAACACTAGGTGCAAGCTTTGCACAGTGGCAGTATTGTAGCCAATGAGGTTTATCCGAGGCGCAATTATTGCTAACTGAAATACTAGTTGCAAGCTAAAAAGAAGGCGGTCTGCTCTTCTCATTATGCTTTCACAATTTTTAACAAGTTAACTGAGTAACTTCTTTCTGATTCTTACAAGATTAGAATACCAAGAAAACCACAGGAACTAAGGGGCCAACCACCTTTAGTAGAGCTTTAGTGCTCTTGGGGAAGTGCTTAAATTAGTTTACAGACAACTCTGCCCAACAGCTCATCAACATCTATCTGTAATCTTAGCACAAATCTCTTAATGTCAGTTAAGGTTTTGAACTCCAATCCCATCTACTTCCCCCTTCTAGCTACTGTGAGCCATTACGAAGTAAAGATGTTTGGAATTAGACAAGATAAAAATTAATTTGTGATCATCTAGACATGCCAAACAACTGTGACTCTCTGAATGGTCCTTATTTGGTCCCCTGGTGGAAACAGCTGCTAGCGAAGCCATCATTAATTGCCTGTCTTGGTTGAGTTTTCAACTGTAGTATTACTTAACCTGAAAAATTATTTAAGATTTCAACTTACATAAACCTTAAGAATACAGACTTTCATAGCAACATGAACAAGGAGGAAAAGGACTATTTTAGTTTTAGACATTACTGTCTGGATTGGTTAGAATTACTGAGTTAAGTTATAGGTTAGCCTTCATAGGATTGCACACAAAGTCTTACAATGTGCCATTTTTGTCCAGTAAGCTTCTGAATTTAAAAAGCTGCTCATCCAAAAGCTAGACCAGGTCTCTATGCAACCTAGAAAATGATTTTACCAGTAGTTTATTGGTAATATTCGGGAGGAGAAAAACAAAACGACCCATAGCAGTTATCAGTGTGGTCACTGATCAAACGATCAGGATCACCTGCTAATTCCCAGCTCTACCCCAGACCCACTGAGTCAGAGGTTCTATATGGGTGGGCCAGGTAATTTTTGTTCTAACAGGTCCTCCAGGTGACTGTGATGCATGTTCAAGTTTAAGAACCACTGACCTATATATCAACACAAATATTTGTTGATTTGTAGAAATAATTTTTTCATTGAATAAAGAACATTTTTAGATAAAGAACCTATGGGTAAGGAAATTAAGTAATTTAGCCTAAACCAAATCAAAATTATCAGAGGAAATATGTGAAGTCTCAAATCGCATCCCAGTGTTTTTACCACTTGTATTCTCTTCTTAACGTACCGCTAATTCTTCCCCAGTGAAATTAAAGACCTGTTGATTCAGTCTTTGTGATAACTTGATGCATTTACTCATTGAATATTTTCTGAGAACCTACTATGGGCCAAGCCCTGCTCTAGTCGATGATGATTCGACAAGCTTTGATCTGGGCTCAGCTAAAGTTCTGCCTCATGCATCATACTACCTGAATAGATGACAAGAATCTTCATTCATTCCCGTTTACTTGATTAACACCTCCAACTTTAAACACACCCACACTTCCTTCCTTCTACCCAAGCAATCAGGCTTCTTCAAAACAGCAGAATAGCAGCTATGAATCTAGATGTAAGGTTGGGGCGGGTAAGATCATTTAACAAACTTAGAAAAGCACATGAGAATCAATGAAGGAGTATTGCTGAGAAACTGCAAAACAGTGTCAAATACTACTTTAAAAAATAACAGATTTTGCGGCGGCTTGTATGCATAATAGCCCCAAACTGCAAACAACCCAGGAATCCATCAAAAGGACAAAAAGCAAATAAATTGTGATGTATTCATAGAATGGAATGCTACAAAAGCAGTAAAAAAAAGATGAACTACTGATGCCTGCCACAACACAGATACATCTCACAGGCATTATGTATTTTAAAAGCTAGTCCCAGTTCTGCGAAATGCCTACTCTCTGACTCCATTTATAAGAAGTTCAAAGTCCAGAAAAACTAACTGATGTGGTAGAAGTCAGCAGTGGTTACTTAGGGGGTGGTTACTCACTAGAAAAGGGCTGAAAGGAATCTTCAGGGGTGCTGGCAGTGTTCTGTACACTGAACTGGATGGTAGCTACATATACACATGAGGTTAGTGGGCTGAAAATAGTAAGTAGAGACCCCCTCCACCATAAAAAAATCAACTAAGAAGCAAAAAGGTATTATAGGTAATAACCAAAAAAATAGAAATATATGCTCTTCATAACCATAATCCTAAGGTATCAAGAAAATATCGAACTACATTTTATACTATTTTTTCATTTAGACATGCAGAGAGAAATACTCAATATATCCATTAAGAAATCAAGTCAACTCAGTGGTTGAAGAATTATATCTAGGTTGAATTAAATCTAATTAAATATTGCTGTGGAGAACCAAAAGTTTTTTAACTGTAAATCAATGCTATTCTTCTTAACAGCTATATTTATACTATGCACTTCAAGTGGCAAGAATAAAAGACTATAATGCAATCTCTTCCAAAATATTATCAAACTTAAAAAATATTATCAAGCTTTATTAATTCTGACTGGCCTACTTTCTAACTAGTAAGTTCAACAGAATAGTAAAATGTGATAAAGCACCAGATTTTTATATCTGCCATATGCTGATACTCTTGTAGAATGCAGTTAAGTATAAAATACAACAGTATTGTACTATTACATACCCCAAATAACACAATTTTATTTCTGTAAATAAAAAAGTATTTTATTCATAAAAATGCATTTTTTATAAACAAAAATGAATTACTAGAAAAACAGAAGGCAAAAAACATTAAATACAAGCCCAAATTCTTCTAATATTCGATTCCACACACATAAAAATATCCTATTACATTATTACCAAAGTCTCTAAAATCTTGCTCTCAATTGCTATACTTAACTGGAACAAAAACTTCACAGATTGACACTAATTCATAGGCCACACTTGGAGACACAATACTTTAGATATATCAAATATCTGGTATCTGTGACTGCAAAGATTCAAATTTTACCATCTTGAGCTGTTTCTAGCTAAGTCCTATTTTTTAAAGAATTACAAACATTTGCTCCTGGGACTAGAAGTAACTAACTTCATTTCTCAGTGCCAAACTTCAGTAATTTTAAACTCAGGTATGGCAAAAAAAAATAAAATAAAATAAGCAACATTTATTCTATTTTTGGCCTTTGCATTTAAATCAATGCAAACTCTCTTTTACAACAACAGTGTTCCATGGATCCTTACTTGCATTATATGAAATGTGTGCACTTATTCTATTTCAAGACCTTATGCTATAAACTTTAAGAATGGCACTATTATAGAGGAATATCAATATAAAGAGCTCTGTACAACTAAATTATCACTGTATATCAATGTTCCTGTGACTCACAGACCACAGATACAAGCCTTTCTTCTAAAGGAAGTATATGGTTGCTATTAGATTACAGGTTGAGAAGAAAAGTAGCACACTCTCCATGTTAGAAAATTATCTCCATCTCTCCCTACCCACCTCAAATAACAGAATACCTAACAATCCTTGCACTAGAAAGAAAGGTGATAGTACTGGGTTCAAAGTAATTCTTCCAATTTGCTAAATCACTTAATATACAATCTTTAGTGCAATATGTAATTGAAACAAATATCTATTTCATGGAGTAAGTCTATGGACAGTCCTACAGTTATTGAAGATTCTGCCCAATGGGAGACCCTCCTAAAGCTTGTCCACAATGAAGTCAAATTCATAAGCTTACATTTAAAAAGTGAAGCCATACCTTCAAAATCAGGCATTCAAGGTATATGCAACAATACTAAAATCACTACCTTACAAGTGGAAGAATAATACAGCACTTGAAATTAACAACACAGAATGCGATCAGCAAAATTATTTCACATCTTTATTACATGTCAAGCGCCACACAATATTTAGATAATGTAACTAAGTCAAGGATTTTGAGAAACACAGAGAAACTTTTAGAACTTAAAGAAAAAAAAAGAACACAAGTTTTTTTCAAAAGATCTTCAACATAATCACCTGGTAAGTTTGAGATGAGGATGAGGACATCATCCATTCATGTACAGACAGTATTTACATAGTGCCTCTAGGACACAGCCACTTGGTTTCTCTAGTAGTGTTGCTGCATTAGCAACCTTGCCCACTATCTCTGCTGGCAAATCCCTAGGACAAAGAAGTTCCTTTTTGCTGTGGCAACCAACTCCTGATTATCAGGAAAACTTCTCTCTTAACTCCTCAGGACTCAAACTCCTCAGCGGTAGCTCTGAGTTCTAACTCCAGGACTGTCATCTGATTATAAAGCCTATTCTCCACGAGTGGCAGAGGTTCTCACATAGAAGTGATTCACTGCCTAGAGACAACGTCTGAGACATTTTGGTTTCCACAATTAATTTCATGGAGGTGGAGGTATTACTGGCAACTAGTAGGCAGAAGCCAGGGATGCTGCTGAGTGTCCTACAATACACAGGACAGCCCCCACAACAAAATGTCAAAAAGTGCCACTGTTGAGCAACCCAGATCTACCGGATTATTTGCACCCACTCTAAAATGACTATTTACCAGGTCTTCTTTTTTTCAGAAACAATTATACCAAGGTATTTCTGGCAAGGGCATGACTGAATGAATTTATCTTATCACTCTTATATTTACCTGAAAGGAATATAGGATGTATTTCCACACATTAATATTCTATATGCTTCTTCTGGAGTCCTCCCCAAATATATAACCTACATATGAAAAGAAAAGAAAAAGGCAATTTATTTCTAAATGAAGATATAGTGCTGTCACTGCAAAGTGACCTCTCCAATTACCTGAGCCTGGGTCTCTAGCTTTCCCAAGGATCCTGAGAGTCCCCCAGCACCCGTCAGTGAATCCCTTTTTTGTTTCAATCTGCCATAGCTAGTTTCTGTTGCTTGCAGGAAGAACACTCAGCAACAAATTCACAACAACCTTTTGTAGTAACAAGTACAGAATTTTTAAAACAGATTTTCTAAACCAAGATGTTAGACTGAGCACATGCCTGTACCTCATCTCTTTTATGAAAAGCCACTGAAATGATCATAAAGAAGTGTGTGGGGGTCAGGGTTGGGAGATGGATTGAGACTGGGGAAAAGGTGGAAAAGGACATAAAGGCAGAGCAAGTTTATTAACTCCATCCATTTAGATTTAACTACTTACAATACTGTACAAGTTTCCTATAAAACTGCATTTGCTTCCTATTCTCATTGGCTTCTTTTATCCTCAGAACTACATTATGCTTCCATTTTTATCTGGTAGAATTACTTCAAGTAGATGCTTTAGCATTTCAGGTCCATTACTGGTAGGTATTCCTCACATTTCTGATAATTTCTTGTTTTCTGCCCTGAATTTATGGACTATGTATATGATTTTTGGTGAGTAGTTCTTTTCTCTCAATAATTTATACATGTTGTTCCACTGTCTTCTCAGTTGTAGTGTTGCAGAAGTATTTTACTAGCCTCATACTCTCCTTCTATTCCTTACAAGCCACTGGTTCTAAAAAAACTACTGGCCTCCCTCAAATAAGTCATCTTCAATCTCCAATTAAGTTTGCCTGGGATTATCTGACCCACATGCTATCTGAAGGCACAAGTCTTTTTCCAACTCAGAATCTTCCTGCAGGGCAGGGCATTTTCAGCTCATATATAGGGGAGGGGAGGTGGCCACAAGCATTAGATTTGGCACATATATTATGATACAAATTAGAGTCAGTGCTAAAGCTTACTTTGGGATAACATACTTTAAATGTTGACTGGTAAAAATAAATCATTAAAAAAGTTAATTATTAACTTTTAATCTCTACTACATACACATATGAGCTGTTTCTTCAATGTAATGTGAGCTGTCTCAAGTGAGGACCCACATCGTGGGTTTCATTTGACTCCTGGTTCATAGATTATATATTATATATATACTGTGGTTCAATGTTTAATTCACTGAACCTAAATCTACTTGTTAATGGTTAGAAAATGTTTAAATCTTAAATTAAAAAAATCATTGGATTAAAACAAATTACAAAATCACAGATCCAGCAAGGATCTTTGAAACTTAGAGAAGGGTATATTCCAAAACTAGTCATAACAGTTAACTCTGCTTCCAGAGGGCATTTTACCAATATTCTGTTTTAAGAATCACAAATGGAAAATTTTCCCAATGTCTAGGCTGTTTCTCAATATGGTTTCATCCCATTTACTCTAAAAAAAATGCTCAACTTTAATTACTATACAGAATCCTCCAATATTTATCTCTTAACATTTCTTTATCTATAGGAGGATACAAATCCACAAAAAAAGTACCACAATGAACAATCAATTCCAAGAATAAGGAAATACTTTGTTACCCAGTATCAAACAAATTTTCAAGTACAAGTATTTCTGACTCATATACAATTGCAGTTTATCATGAATTAGCCACAAGATAATCATTTTTAATCTCACTCATCATACTTGTCTATACATTATCTTTTAAGCATCAACCTATCAACTGACTTTTTATTACTATTCATTTGTAAAGACAGCATAACAATTCTTTCAGGAAAAATTTAAAACTTTTTAAAAAACAAATCCCTCTTTCCAAATCTCCTCATTCTCTTCTAGTCTCCAACATGCTTCCTTTTTTATCTAAGGCTTACTACATAACATCAGTAAAGTATTTTCTTTTCTCCATTCTATTTTAGGACTTACTAGCAGACAAGTCCCCTCCAAACACCACCCCTGAAACCAAAAGAACAAAACCAAATAAAAACCACTTTGAGGCAAATGAGAGTGAAAACAGGTTTGATTCAATTGTGTTTGAGTATATAGGTGTATATATACATAATTTAAGTAAATGAAATCCAGAGACCTCTTTCAGATTTTCCATAAATTTCTAATAAAACCTTCTCTCAAATTATAGTAATTTTTCCTTAAGCACCACATTAAAGAAAATTCTCTTACTAAAGATTGCAGTTCTTTGGTTTCTTTAATTACTAAAATTGCAATAGTATTATTTCCTTACTTTCAAAACACAGTCGCTAATACATTAAATAATTCTGGGTTAGCCTTGGAACATAAGTTCAATTCAAAGAACACAAGAGCAATATAACATTTCCTCCTATGGGGGAATAAAACCTAAATCCCTAGCCATGAACTTTAAAAAAAAAATGTTAGGGGCGCCTGGGTGGCGCAGTCGGTTAAGCGTCCGACTTCAGCCAGGTCACGATCTCGCGGTCCGTGAGTTCGAGCCCCGCGTCGGGCTCTGGGCTGATGGCTCAGGGCCTGGAGCCTGTTTCCGATTCTGTGTCTCCCTCTCTCTCTGCCCCTCCCCCGTTCATGCTCTGTCTCTCTCTGTCCCAAAAATAAATAAACGTTGAAAAAAAAAATTAAAAAAAAAAAAATGTTATTTTTGAAATCTAGTTGGGGGATGCTTGTACATAATGTACTTAAATAGGTAATATGGGGTATAATGAGATAAGCTGAAAGAAATTTATAGACTCAGAATAAGTCTATTTATATAATGCTAGTCTGAATGTTTGTGTGCCCCACCTTGCAAATTCTTATGTTGAAATCCTAACCCCCAAAAGGTGATGTGATGGTATTAGTAGATGGGGCCTTTGGGAGATGGTTAGCCATAAAAGTGGAGCCATCATGAATGGGCTTAGTGCCTTCTAAAAGAAGCTCCAGAGAGATCCTCAGCCCCTTCCACCACGTGAGAGGCCTCACCAGTCCATGCTGACATTCTGATCCTGGAAGTTCCAGCCTCCAGAACTGTGAGAAATACATTTCTGTTTATAAGCCTCCCAGTCTCTGGTACTTTGTTATGGCTACTCAGAAGGACTAAGACACAGAACTATTAAGGAAATATCTGCTAGCAATCTATCATTTTTAACTGTACACTCATGTATCTTCCCGCATCAAAAGGCCTTGCCAAATGAAATTATTCTAAATTTGTTTTTTAAGAAAAACCCTATAAATGGCTCCTCTATTAACACAGATCCTCAAATTAGTAAACTCTAACTCAATGCAATTTTATGATCTATCACTGTGTTCCTGGCAATTTGGAAGGTAGGTCCTTCGCAAATTCCTTTGGTATATTTTGATGAGAAGCTTTGTACAAATATAGAATGCTCACTCTAAATCCACACTGCCATCCAAAAATAGGAAGCAACAAATGAGGAACAAGAGAGATATTAAACAGCTGTGGTAGCCAGCTTCCAAAACAGTCCCAGTGATGCTCACCTCCTGGTACTTCTACCCTTGCATGGCCCCCTCCCACATTGATTGGTCACCTATGTATAAACAATGCATAAAAGGCAGAGTGTGACTTCTGAGGCATAAATGATGCTGTGGCTCCAGCATTGGATTCCCCATTCCAGGTACCTCAAGGTGTCATTCAGTGACGGTACTTGGGCAGCTGTGTGGCAAGGAACTAAGGCCATGTGCCAATAACCAGCGCTAATTGGCAGGAGTGTGAAGAGAACCCGTTAGCAGTGCACCCTCCAGCCCCAGGCTAGCCTTTAGATGACTGTAGTCCAGGGGGGTAATTTGTCAGGCAGCAATAATATGGTAACACAATCAACAGTAAGAAATGATCAGTTCAGTTTGTTAAAAGTGTATAAATAAAAAAATAGGTGACAAGTGCAGAGATGTAAAGATAAGCAAGTCTTGTGGCTTAGAAAGCATTAGGAAGGAGAGCTTATTGCCACCTCTCTCTCTCTCTGAAGAAGCAAACAGCAATCTCACAGGATGAATAAAATATTGGTGCAGAAATACTTGAGAAGTCAATAGTGCTTTTCAAAGTCATGATCTTTTTTGCTGAATAAAATCAAAGCCATTTCTAGGACTTCCACCACCCCCATTTTTTAAATTACCATCTGCCTGCCTCAGTCCCTGTGAGAACTTCTAACCTTGGACTACTGATCTGTGTTGCAAAACCTGGGAGGGGCTGGGCTCAATCGATGATGAATTAATTAGTGGACTGAAAGAAAAGAATCACAGACTGATCAGTTTCAATCCTGACCACTCAGGCCTCAAATAATAACACCCAATCACTTAGACACATGCTTCTTATTTCTATTCTTACACAGAGCATTTTGAAGCTTAAGCTATGTACTTATTGGTCTTTGGTACAGTTCTAAAAACCAAAACATTACACAAATCATCCTAAGAATGAAGAATAACAAAGAGTACTTAAACTCCACAACAAATGTGGCAGCCCAATAAACCAGTAAACCATTTTCAAGTATTTTTCTTTTTTTTTAATGTTTATCTATTATTGGGAGACAGAGAGAAACAGAGCGTGAGCAGGGGAGGCGCAGAGAGAGAGGGAGACACAGAATCTGAAGCAGGTTCCAGGCTCTGAGCTGTCAGCACAGAGCCCGACGCGGGGCTCGAACTCACAAACTGAGATCACGACCTGAGTCAGCCACTTAACTGACTAAGCCACCCAGGTACCCCCATTTTCAAGTATTTTTCATGGAGAAATGTCACAATGTTTCCAGTATTAACTTACATGCGCATCAACCAGATGACATGGTCTTTCCTATGCCAAGACTTGAATGATCTTTTTTAAAGAAATCACTCTCTCCAGATTAATACTGAAATGTTCATGAAAGCTGAAAATAAGCTTACGGAAATAGCTTATTGAGCAGGGAAAAACTATATACAATACAGTTTTACATGATAAGATAAATAAATCAATTTCACAGCTCCCGCACAAATACAGAAATATG